TGCGGTCGGTCAAAAGTGACTTATATGTATCTCCCGAACGGCTGAACGGATTCGAATGATTTTTTGGGTATGTTTGTATTTGGAATGTGCTGATTAGTAATATGTAACTTTTATTAATATTGGATGCATAGTTTTGGAGTTATGAAAGTTGGGTAAAAAGTAGGTTTTAAACTGTACGGATAATTGGGTTACCGCTCAGGCTAAGCGGAGGAGATGTGTGGGATGTAACCATTGTGTGATTGGCTAATGTATAATTGTCCGTGGGCGTCTTCCTTGCATGGGAGAAATTGCATAAAAGCAGAGTGTGTGTCATTAAACCAGTGTTCTTCTTCACCCTCAATCTAGAGTCCTGTCTCTTATTAGGGGAATTGCTATATCACTACAAGCGATTGCTATGCTCTGCATGCTCCCTTGGATAATCACTTCTAAGCTCTTGTAAGAGCTTGTTCCTGCTTCGCCCTCTGAAGGAGACGGCAAGACCCCAACCAAGCTGCGGCAGTTCGTGGGGTCTGCGGTGGTTATGGTGTCTGCTGGAGCGCTTGGAGCTCTCTGTAAGTGCTAGGAGCATCCTTCAACAGAGGTACCCAGTCGGGGTGCCAGGTGATCCATTACAGAGGGAGCGCTCTGTGCTTCCCTCCTTCCGGTCACTCCAAGCCGGCCGCCCTCCATACAGCAGTGCTGCGCCGCCTGAGGGTTGCTCACACGCGTACACGCGACGCAGCATGAGGAGCCGCACCGGTGATTCTGGGCGCAGGGATCCGGCGCCCCCTGCTAAGGTGTGCCCTAGGCGGCTGCCTAGGTTGCCTTACAGGTAGCGCCAGCACTGGGTAAATCCCTGCTAATTGCCAAGTAGCGCGGAGAGGCTCTTCCTATGAATTGGCCCACCGAACAATGTGGCGGGATGTTGGCCTCTCGGTGACCGTATAGAGAAAAACGTTTGGCGATGGCATGTGACATTCTAAAACAACCCCTGTAGAAGGGGATATGAGGTAATTGCACTAATGTGGGCCGTGTGGGTGATACCTCTGCGTGAGTTGGGTGGGGGGGGAGGTGGGGAGGCCTCATGGGAACTAGAACTTAAAAGTATTAGGGGCAGATGCTGTCCCTTGCAGCCAGTTTTCTATCCCTGGCTGGGGCTTGTCTTATAGGAAAAGCAGCGTAAATGTAACCGTACGTACCTAATAACCAGATGTTATAGACCCTGAGAGGAAGCTGGAGGGATGATGCAGGTTTAAAAATGTCTATTTTGAAAGAGGATCAATTATTAACTAATGATAAGTGGAGTAATGGTAATTATCCTAGTTATCCTAGTGAATATATGTTTATATAAACGTATGTATATATAAACGTACCCTTAACTGAACCTGAGAGAGAGAACACTTACGGGATAGGACTCTTATGTGCACCTGAAAGAAAAATTGGGGATATGTGTGATAAGTAGTTATATATAAATTAGGTGTTGTAGTAACTCTATGTGTCTAAAGTTTGGCAATGGTATTGCTTGCCCAAGCTGGAAATAAATAGCACAACAGGAGATTTGTAAGATATCGTATAGAGGTTCCTGAATGTGGGGTGTAATAAGACAAGCCCCTTGATGTACCGGTTATGATTGAATATGAGCGCAAGGAAATGAGCGCAAGGAAATGGAAATACCTGAAACAAAATTTTTATGTATTCTAGGGTTTTAATAGGCATGTGATATAGCCAACGTACTAATGATATAGTGTGCCACCGTGCGGCTTAATTGACTGAATGCACTGAGTGTAAAAGACAGAGGAACAGTTTTAACTGTGATTTAAACTAAATATATTAATAAATAGTTTTAAATTAAATGGATTTAAACTAATGGAATTTAAACGAAAGGAATTACATGAATTTAAACGAAAGGCTTTAAACAAATGCGTTAACGAAATTATATAAACGGCATGGATTCATACAAATTGATATAAACAAAATGATATAACCAAAAAGGAATAAACGAATGACCATTTTAACGAATTGATTAACCTAATGGTATGTAAACAAACAGAGTTAGACAAACAGCATAATTATGCAAAACAGAGGGAGCCAATCCCAGCATTTTTTAGGCCTGAACGTGGGAACACCGTGAACGGGTTCCCACGTGTACATACGTGAGCATGCCGCGTCATGCGGCAGGAAGCCGGTAACAGAAATGGGGAACCGGGTAGGATTCCCTGCAGGTGGTTGGAGCCTCAAATGAAGCTGCGAGCCAGGTTTGGAATGCTGCAAGCCGGGTCAGTGGCTGAAGTCGAGTCCGTGGCTGCTGCTGGAGCAAATGGATGGCCAAAAAAACGGAAGTGCTGGTTGTCGTGGCAACGTCACACTAACAGGAACCAGCAAAGGTAAGCAGGGGGGAGTAGTTATATAGGGAAGAGAATGGAGAGGAGAAAGGGCTGATCTCCTTTTCAATAGCAGCAAACTCCTGAAAGCACCGTTCAAACGCCCCAGCCAGAGATGCAGTGTCTGCTGCATACCTGCTCGGTTGCGCACTGATATTGTCCTGTGGAAAACTGTTCATTATTTCCTGCAATGCTGAAAAATTTATGGTATTGGACTGTGTTTGTGACAATTGCTTTTGGAAAAGTTGTAGCTTTGTTCAAAGGTTTTGAGGTGTGAATAAAGCTGGTTCACCGCTGCATCTTTCCCCTGAAGACTCGTGTTCAGTACATTCAGATGCTTTGTTATGTCAATTAAAAACCCCAAATCAGCCAGCCAAAAAGGATTAGATAGTTTTCGCATTGGTTGTCCCTTTGTTTCCAAGAATTCTCCGATTTCCTTTCTGAGAGAGTAGAAATGCTGCAGGGCAGACCCCCCACTGAGCCATCTTACATCGTTGTGATAGAAAACATCTTTGTATTCAGCCTCGATGTCCAGTAGAAACTGTTTAAACTGGCGGTGGCGCAGGGCTTTAGAGCAAATAAAATGATGTCTTTAGCACCAGTTTCATAACATGATCATATTTGAGATGTTTAGCACAGAGAACTTGTTGATGAATGATACAATGGAGTTTAATAGCGTTGCCTCCTTCTTCGATCACCTTGTTACAGATTATGGTTGATAATCTTTGTTCATCAGCCATGGCAGGTGCCCCATCAGTAATAATCCCAGTAACTTTGTTCCAAGGCATTTTCATGTCATCTATGGCAGAACTAACAGAAACAAATAAATATTTTCCTCCTGTTTGGTCCGTAAGGCTCTGGAGGTCAAGTAATTCTTCAGTCACATTCATTTCATCGTCTACCTCTCTCATAAAAATCAGCAACTGAGCTTTGTCAGATAGGTCCGTGCTTTCATCACAGGCTATAGAAAAAAAGTCAAAACCCACTATTTTGGACATCAACTGTCTCTTAATATCTGATGAAATAGTTTAAATTCTCCGGGCTACAGTGTTACGAACCAGGCAAATGTTGGCAAACTCTTGCTTCTTCTCGGGACAGATATTCTCAACCATTTTTATAATGCATTCTTTGATAAGTTCATCCTCCACAAAAGATTTGCTATTTTTAGCAATTAATGTTGCCACCTCATAGCTCACCCTTGTGGCAGTTTCATTTGACTCACAGGCTCTTGTGAAAAAAATCGCTGTTGTAACATTAAAACAGCTTCAAGTTGCTTACACTTTTCACTGCGGTTGCGCCCTGTTAGCTTGTCGTATGTGCTAAGTCTCGACTGGCAGTGTCTCTTGACATTAAATTCCTTATAAACCGCCACAGTCTTTTGGCATATCAGACAAACACAATTATTAGGTATTTCAGTGAAGAAATATTCCACTTTCCACCTGTCCTGGAAGCGGGGGCCCTCACTGTTAACTTTCCTTCTCTTATTTACAGTCACCATTTTAGAAATTGGCCAGAAGGGGAAGGGATCAAGTGAGCGCAATGCCAGAGGTTTTCGCCCAAGCCCTAATATATATATTTGGGAGTCTAGCCTAATATATATATTTGGGAGTCTAACTGCTTGTTTTTGCACCCCTCCCTGTCACAGGTGCCTCGTCCCAGGGCCTTGTACTGCAGAGAGCCCTAGTTGGATTTTTTTCTCCAAGTAAGTGGGTTACTTGTGAGCACAGACACACCTGGTGTTCTTTCAAGGCTTGGAACGTATGAGTTGTGCCTTTTACATTTATATATCATAGTGTGCTTTAATGGGATGCTATAGTCAACAGAAACACTCCAGCTTATTCAAGTGGTTCTGGTGTCTATAGCATGACTCTGCAGGCTTTTCTAATTTAAAGTGGCATTTTTATAGTATTTATATTGCTGTCAAGTTAACACCTTTCAGTGTAATGTCATGGGGACGGGAGGGGGCAATCTACAGTGCCAGTAAAATGGCTTTGTTTTCCTGACACTGTAGAATTCCTTTAGTAGCTACTCCAGTTGTAGTCTTTCTTTATGTGCCCGAAAGACTGTCTCTACTGTCTCATCAAAGCACACACTACCTTTTTTCTTAAAAAGTGATATTTGATTTAAAAAATGACAATTAGGATTAGCGATAATATGGTCCTAAGTTTTGTGATGGTTTATATTTTTATTAATTTTTGCTTCACAAATAGGTGATAGGTGACAAAAAGGATGTATTTTGTAATGTATTTTTTTATTATTATTATTGATGTTCTTCCTTTTCATGTTTTCATGTCTTAAAATCAAATCAAAATTGTAAACAAAAAATGTTTTTCTTTATTCTCTTATAACGACTACAGGAAGACGGCCTACAATGCTTTTACCCTGTGGGTCTATGGTCACTTGGGACCCAGGAATAGGCGTCCAATTCCATTGTGTGGTGTGAAGTGGATACAGGAACACTTTCCCGCACTGGACCTATTCTATATAGGGGGTATCGTCCAGTATCCTCCGAGCCCAATGCTGTGGACTTTTTGTAAGACACAGTATGTGTACCATTTCCTGTTTTGGCATTGGCACACAATTTCTTATTTGTGCACCACCCTTTTGGTAACACCGGTGCAGGTTTGTTTCAACGATGCATCATTGTTAATTATTTTATCAAAAATTGTTTTTGTTTTTTAGTTTCTGATTAATTTAATTATGGCTAAATTGTTATATTTAAATATTAATGTATAAATATTGTATTTTTTATTAACCATTTAAAGTGTATTACAATGTATTAAATTTAAACACTTGTTTTTTTATGAATCAAACTATTGGTGATTATGTCAAAGCAAATTACAAGTGGTCCTAACATAACATTTGGAAATATATATATATATATATATATATATATATATATATATATATATATATATATATATATATATATATATATATATATATATATATATATATATATGACACAATGGAGGATATATGGTGTCCTGTGACTTCATTGTACATTGCAACCCTAAAATTATAACAATATTCAAAGTTTAATCATTTTCAGTAGTTATGTCATAGTGACCAGGCCATTTTTCAATTGTATTACCGTTAAGGACCAGGGCTCTTTTTCTGCAGTGGCTGTGTTTAGATGTAATTTGCCTCTTACACATTTACTGTACCCATACATATTATATATCATTTTCCTCGCTATTAAATGTTCATTCTAAAGATACCATTATTTTCATCATATCATATGATTTACTAGAATAAAAAAAGTAAAATATGATGAAAAATAAAACACAGATGGCCATCATGCACCCATGTCCCAGTCGGAACATTTCTGAAGCCATCCAATGTAATTCACCTCCGTCAAACCGTATGTTTTCGAAAAGTACACACCCTAGGGCATTTCACATGGTGGCATTTCAACACTTTACATGCACTAATTCTACCACCAGTCTCTGTCAAACGTTTTTGTGGTGTTCTTTTTCACTCACACATTCTACTTTGAGCATAGATTCTAAGCTCCTGTTAGGTGTTACTGCCAAAGGACAACCCCAATATGTGCTCGGCAACATCTCCCGAGTACAGCGATACCACCCATGCATACGTTTATCGGGTTCACTGAGGGGTGCAAAGCAAAATGTCTGATATGCGTTTTTCAAATTGTACATATCTTGTTTGCCTATCTTCCTTTGGGGGCCTCATCAGAAATCCCAATGTATTGTCTTGACATGAGCGTGCGCATATTTGAAAAGTTGACACCCCGCAGTAGTTGAAGAACGTGTGTGGAGGTAACTGTTAAATCCTCACACACGCACACTGCTTTTTGACTGTGATGTAGGAGAGCCCGTTGTTGGTTATTGCAAGAACACACCCCAGGTTGTTTTCTGCAAGGCTTCTCCTTAGGACACCCATGCCCCCCATGCACGGGGTAAATGTAACAACCCCCCCCTAAAAATAAAAAAGACACACACAAAAAACTGAACGGCAAATGGTAAAAATAAATAAAAAATGGACCAGCGTGTGGTATCGTTTGAAGCAGTCGCCAATGCAGAGTCCAGGCTGTCCAGGGCAATCAGGACAGTAATATACACTATCTTTTCTCTGCCCCCTCTTAGAACAGACCCTGCATCTTTTTTGGGGATTCTGCTTTGCCGCAGTAGGGGGGATTTTAAAAATAAAATGTGTAGCCCCAACTCTGCTCTCTCCCATCACCGCCTGAGGAGCAGGTGCATCACGGTACAAAATCCCCGAAATGATCTGGAGCTGAAACTGTAAAAATCTCAGTTGCGTCCCGGGGTTTGCTTTTTTGAACAACAACAAAGCGTTGTGGGTTGCAGTCTGCATTAGGTAGATTGCAACCTTTTTGTACCAGGCCCTTGTCTTTCGTATAATTAGGTAGGGCTGCAGCAGCTGATCTGCCAGATCAACCCCACCCATGTGCCGGTTATAGGCCTTGATGCACACTGGCTTCCTTGTCCTCTCAGCTCTGCCACGTACAGGGACCTCCACAGTCCCCTCAGTGTGGATGGTGTTAAGAAGGTACACATCCTTCTTGTCTCTGTACTTAACTGCCAACAGCTCCTGTTGGCGCAGAGCTGAGGTCTCCCCCCTTCGTATCCAAGTGCGTGCAAGTTGTCCTGGGAAAACTGTGCTGTTCTTTTTAATTGTGCCGCAAGCTACTGTATCAAAACAGTACAGTAGCTTGAACAAAGGGACACTTGTATAAAAATTGTCAGTATACAAGTGGTACCCTTTGTTCATCAGGGGGAAAATCAGGTCCCAAACAATCTTGCCACTGGTTCCCATATGTTCTGGGCAACCTGGAGGGTCAAGGTGGCTATCCTTTCCTTGTACACCCGGAAGGCCTGAATATACCCAGTCTCGCTATCACAGAGCTTATACATCTTTACACCATACCTAGAGCGCTTGGAAGGAACATACTGCTTGAATCCCAGCCTTCCCTTATACTTCATCAGGAATTCATCCACGCATATATTCCTTCCAGGTGTATAAGCCTCTGCAAACCTGGCAGCGAAGTGGGTAATCAGGGGGCGTATTTTATACAGCCTGTCAAATTGGGGATGCTCCCTAGGGGGGCACAGGCTATTGTCGCTGAAGTGCATGAAATGCAGAATGATTTTATACCTCTTCCTCGACATACATTGGGAGTAAATGGGGGTAGAGCAGATGGGGCTACTGCTCCAGTAGGAGTGGATGGAGGGCTTCTTTATGATGCCCATCAGCATAGTCAATGCCCAGAATCTTTTAAATTCTGGCACATCGATGGGGGCCCATTGCTGCTTTGCCAAAAAAGAGTCAGGATTTGTAGCTCGGAATTGATGGGCATATAAATTAGTTTGGGCAGCAATGTTCCCCAATACATCATCGCCCAGAAACACCTCCATAAACTGCTGAGGGCTAAATCCTGTGACATCCAAATTAATGCCAGGATTTGCAGTAAAGGATGGGATGTCTGGCCTCTGGCGATGAGGCACTACCCATTCCTCAGCAGTTCTGACAGCTGGAGAAGCACGTCTCCTTCTGGCAGGGGGACTATCAGGCACAGATACAACATCACTAGATACATCACTAGCAGCAGACACTGTATATAGTGATGATGTATCTGAGAACCTGGCTGGGTCAAAATCAGGGTCAGAGTCTGACATAGATGCGTCAGACTCTAGCGCAAGGGTGGCATATGACTGCTCAGCGCTGGTTGACTTCCGTGACCCATGTGACATGATCACAATCACTTTACTTAGTGACCTGTCACAAAAAAAAAATAACCCCTAAAAAAAAATGAACAGACAGCAAAATAAGTGCTGCTGTGCAAGAGCCTGTGATCTGTATAGTGATCACTGGCAGGACAGGGGTTAATCGTTCTGAAAAGAGCTTTTGGGTCTCCAAAAAAAATGAACCCCTAAAAAAAATATGCACAAACAGCAGAAAAGTACTGCTGTGCAAGAGCCAGTGATTATAGTGATCACTGGCAAGACAGGGGTTAATGACTCTGAAAAGAGCCTTTGGGTCTCAAGATTTTACAAATCCTTACCTATAAATACCTAAATCTCTCTAGCTAAACCACAGATCTCTCTCCCCCTCTCTCTAAAAAGAGAGGGAGGCAGATCCACACTAATCAGAGAAATGGGGAACACACTTGGGATGAAATTGCTAATGGGGCAAGCTGTAATTGGATGACCCCAGCCTGCCCCTTATGATGCGGCATGCTAGGGACACCCCCAGAAGCCCCATGATTCACTGCCTTTAGAAAGGGGGGCGGGGGGGTTAATATTGATCATTTTATTTGTTTTATATTTATTTTTATATATATATATATATATATATAAATATATATATATTATTATATATGCACTTAGTGACCCCTCGAGGCACTCAGCACATGCAGAGCATCAACTGCAATACTATCAGAGCTTCCAGAGCTCAAAATAGCTGCGGATGCACCAGGTACGTCCAAGGTCATTATGGACAGTTTTCTGCCAGACGTACCTGATACGTCCGCGGTCGGGAAGGGGTTAAAGGGCGTTCCAGGGACTAAAAGAAATTCTTCTCAATGTTGTCACCCACACAATCTTACCTCTTACAATGTTCTTCAACTGTTGAACCTCGCATTATCCTACAGCACTGATCTCAGCTCCCACCCAATGCGGCAACTTGCTTCCAAAATTTTATTTTCAGTAACCATGGAGTGCCACTGTGCAGGGGCAGGCAATAGAGAACTCTTCAGTCTAAACGTTCTAAAACAGTTTAACCCATGAGGTAATATATCTCCCAGGGACCTCCAAGTACCATAAAGCAACATAATTTAATTTCTATAACGTTGTTGGGATGTCCAAATTGTCTCTTTAAATTACACTATTCTACTAAATAGTAACTGAAGACACAATTTTGGTTCTAAAAAAACTTTTAAATAGAAATTTGTAAAAAAAAATAAAAAATTACAATAATGTAATAATCAAAATTTAAATATAAATAAATCACTGCATCATACAAAGGACATGTAGATCCTAATCATACTTTTATTTCACTGGTGTTACATTTTTCTGTTAAACCATGGTTACACAACATATTATAAATGTGTCTGACAATTGAGTTCAAGACTCCAGGCACTATAATCTACAAAGAACTATAGTGGCTAAGGTGCAAGGAGTAAATATTATCTGTAACGGACCATTTCAGCACACACGGGGTTAAAACCATTTAGGCTATCGTCCTCTTTCCGAGATGCAGACACAGCTACTCCCGAACCGCAGGTAAGGGAATGCTCCAAACTCCCGAACGGCATACAATATAGCACTCCAAACTCACGAACTGGAACCATACGAATAGCTGAAGCACCCAAGCGGCTTACACTCCTAGCAATCAGTCTATCAGCATTCAGTAAATCCCCCCAAAGACGAGACAAGGCTCCGTGTTGAGGGTCAAGCAGTGGTCTGTTTAATGAGGGCTACCTGCCCAGTATTTAAGCAGGTCTCCCACCTGGTGGACACTCCCCTAGGGGACCAAATTGGAGACTGTGACAAAAGACAGACAATCAGCAAAATAGGACACACAGTCACATTATATTCTCACAATGCATCCTGGCTTCCTC